TGGTATAAATATAACTTATGTTTGTGTAGATAGGTTTTAACTTACCTTTGTCACCCGCACAGTGTGCACCTGTGGATGCTTGTCCATTATTACTTTGGCCTCACTGGCACTGAAGCCCAAACGATGAGCCAGGTATTCCACCACGGAGGAGAACTCTCCCAGAACCTTTAGTTCATCAAGGGAAAGCTTCAGGGAGCGTTGCAGTATGGGCTCCGGACAGCGCACCATCCACGGCATGATCTTGTCCTTCTTGGCTCGCTTGGCACGCTCCAAGCGCAGCTGAACCGACTTTGGCGTATAGCGAAAGGCCCACAGGTCCTTGAGAACGTTGATGGGCGACACATTGTAGTCGATCATGTGCTGCAGGTTCTTCTCAAACATCTCGTAGGGCATCTCAAGGATAAAGAGCCGCTTGCAGAGGTACTTGGTCACGAGATCGGGACTGACCTGCAGCTTTTCGCTAATGTAGTATACGCGATTCAGCTGTGGCATCGTGCTCCTCTCAGAGTTCAGGGCGGTAACGAGTTTGCGGAGGCGTGGTACAGTTAGGCGCAGGAAGGGCACAAAGTGATTGATGTCCTTTATGTCCATTGACTTGATGAGCTGTAGCTTCAGTTGCAGGCGCTCTAAATTGGTGGAAAATGTTAGTTCTTACAAGGAAGCTAAGTATGTAATTGGACTCACTGTCGTCCAGAGACAGCAGCCAAGGATACTCCACGAAGCTGCGCCTGCTCACTCCCTCCAGCTGCAATGTGTCCAGGGTCAGGGCCAGTGATCTACTGCGATAGGTGCGGTGCACCAGCTCGTCGCTCATGATCCTCTGCAGCTCGTCGTCCGTGAAGCGAAAGCGTTCCCGCAACGTTTCGATGAGCACCCGTGCCTTGGTGCCCGTCTCGAGATCCTGGCGATAAGGCACATAGTCGTTGTCCGCCTCGTTGCCACCAAGTGCGGCACTGGTTAGAAGGGATTTACTCGGACTTGCTTGGTTTTCGTACTGGGAGAAGAGCAGGCGCCTGCTGCAGTGCCATGGAGCTGTGTTTGTGGTTGCATGCAACTTGAGCCCCTTCTCAAAGCTGCGCAGTAAGTTCCGCAGCATTTCTAAATATTTAAATAGTCCAAATGAATTTAATAACATAACATAACTTATAGAACAAGCGGCGGGAACAGCTGTTGCTCTGCGTCGATAAACAGCTGACCAAGTAGCCAACAGATTGCCAAACTGTACAACACTCAAGTGCCTATCGTTATCGATTTTGAAAATATTTCCGTTGTATCAGAAAAAACTAACTCAAACCTTATTTATAAGTCGTACTAGGTTTATTGGCAGTAGAAAGTATAAATACTCATAAAATGTAGGTATTATACTAGTCGAAGTTTCCAGAACTCGAATTTTTTGGTGGCAAATGGTTGCTTGGGTTATGGAAGTTCGACTGTAGCTCAGAATATCAGTTTACGGACTATCTTTCTTACCGTGTATGACATTTTTTTTGTTTAATTTCAGGAACGTACATAGCTACAAACTATATAATCTGATCCCTTTTATCTGAACCAAGTTATTCATAAAGGAAACCCATCAAACTACACTTATTTCATCAACGAAATTTTGTCCACTTTATTTTCAAGAATACTACGCTCCAAAACTAATCGGAACATTAACGGTAAACATAGACTTGTAGGATTTTAGACGAATCATGAATATTTCTTATAGAAATGTTCTATCACAAGCACTGGAAACAAATACGCCTACTCCACATCGACGTCCTTGGTGACGCGACCCACCCAGTAAACGAATCCGGTCTGGACCACGGTGGCCATGAACTTCACATTGCCCTTGTAGCCAGCTGGGGGGATCCAATCGAAGGAGATGCTGGTCAGCGGGCTGCCCTTAGTGGCCTTCAGGTGGGTGAGGGTGTCGTCCTTGGCCGAGCACTCCAAGGTCTGTGAGTGCTTAGGGTCCACCACCTGGAAGTGGCCGACGACGCGGTTCTGGCCGTCACGAGCCTGGATCATGAAGCCCAGGAACTCCTCGCCGCCCAGGGTCAGGGTGAGCTTCTGGTCGCCGCGCACATGGGGCGGACCGGTGATACTGTACGGGGGCTTGTCCGTCTGCAATTTGGCGCCGTGTTGGGGGGTCAGGTCCCGGCAGGCAGCCTTTGGAGCACCCTCGGAGTAGGCGTGAACACTGATGGCCAGGCAGGCCGCGATTACGAGGAGGCGGAACATATCTGGTGGAAGAAAATTAATAATATAACATTACTTAACAGTCTTTAGTCCGATTTCACTTAAATGCACAGGGTACATTGCACACATAGAAACCCATACATTTTCTTTTAATTTTATATAGTTGTAAACTACAATTACTTTTAATTTTATACCAAAAATCAATGTTTATTTCTTTTGACTTATCAAAAAAAACAATCAAATATCATTCAGATAAGAAAAAACTATAATCCTTTCATATTTTTAACACCACTCTTATAACTAAACTTATTTCTAGAAGAAACTAGTCCCATTTTATATGAAAAAACTTCTGCAACTTCAGTTTTTAAAATAGTTAAAGTATTGCATTGCTTGAAAAAAATCATTGTTCATACTGGTTATAAGGTCTTAATTAAAAAAATATGTTTGATGTTATGGTCAAACTTTTCAAGCTACTTTTCAATATAATTATTGTTTAACAAGTTAATCAGTCTCATGCAAAAATGCAACAAAGTTAAATCCAATTCCTATCCAATTATACAATGCTGCCGGTTATTGTTTAAATTTTTCCAATAACCTTTTTAGCGTTTTCTGTGCATGCTATTTAATTGCATTTGCTAGTTTTTCATAAATTAATTAATTAACATTTCCACTCAAGTGAGACTTTTTCGCTGGCCTTGGCCAGCTGGAAGTTTTCCTTTGACAAGTTTACATACTTATACGTAGGCAGTAACAAATATATTGAAAACTAGCTCCAATTATGCAGGTTGACAAACTGCAACGTTTATTATGCAGTTTGTTCAGTTTCTGCTGCCATAATGGGTATACATTCGGCCTTGACTGTTGACTGTCAATTTATTAACAAGATTTAAGATAAGGTTGTAATTTGCTATGGAAACCAGCTACGCTAGGAACCCCAAATAGAAGACTCCAAAACTTCAACAAAACATTTTAAGTGCCTAAATGAGTTGGAATTAACTTAACATTTCAATCACGCTCGGCTCATAAATCTTCAGATTCGCAGAAATAAGAAACCACAAACAAAGAGCTTTATTCAATATTAAAATTGGCCAAGATGCATGTTGATTAAAACCGATTTTTTAAAAATCATCAAACTGGTTTTTCAGACGTAAACGAAAACTCTATAAGGCCCAAACCAGTTTGCAGTACATTTCCATAGAAGAGTAACTTTATAATTGTTTTTTTTATATATTGTCATTACCATTCGATAACTCACGAATAGAAATGAATGTGACAATTTGAAAAACGTGAACAATTAAGAGGAGCTGAGTACTTCCTCAAAGCAACTTCAGGTTCAAGGTGGATGGGGGTCTTGTGGAGTACCGATCTGATTGAATATCGGCCTCCTCCACTTTTGTCGCCATGGATGCCAAAAGACCTTGTCAAGACCGGGCCGTAAGCCAAGCCTCGATTTGTCTTGCAATATGCTAAAGTTCAGCTTTGGACATATGTACTGGTGTCTACGCCAAGTCTCGCTTCTTTATATATATATTTATTTTTCTTTGCTTTTTTCTGTGTATTTATGGGCCTTTGTCCAACCGGTTGCCAGATTTGTTTAGATAAAATCTCAATACATAGTTGTTTAATTTTTATTTTTTTGTGCCAGTCATTACGCAGAGGCCTCAATTAGCCAACTTCTATAATGGTTCGGAAAACATTATTATTAGCAAGTTGGTGGGATGGAATTGCTGAAGCTTGAAAATTCTGAAACTATTAATGTCTGTCCCCAAATGGGAGTGTTTTAATGAAGTAAGTAATTTTAAAAAGTAATATGTTATTATATAGATTTTGTTTTTAAAAGTAATTCACTTTGAAAATAAATATATATAACTCTTAAGAATGAGTAGAGCTATGTATATATTCCCTTTAAAGGATTTTGAAAACTTTTCATCAGCCTGAGATTATTTTCACAAGAACAGCACTACTTCGGTAATCATTTAGGATCTTAAATAAAATAAATTGCTTAACTATTTTTACCTTCCACTTAAAAACACACACAAACGGAACAGAAGAAAAACTTGAAATGCGCTGAAAATTCTAAAACAGCTTCCTATTTATACCAAAAACTGATCAAAATTATTAAGTAGCTTTTGCAAAGAAAACTTTGTAAGCCAAGCTTTAAGCCCTGCAAGTTGGCCAATTTAAAAGCTCAGCTTGTAAATTGAATTCATAACGCTTCATTTAGAGTGCGGCTTAGTCTGTGACTAAATGTTTACTTAAATCGAGAAATCAAATGGCAGAGCAATTAGCAATTTTTATTGAGTTAAGGGAGAAACTTTCTAAAGATTATTCGCTAATAAAAGTTACAGATGTTCAATGGAAAGCTTGTGGGTAATACTTATAGGTCAACCACCAGCGATATTCTAAGACCTGTTCCGGGTGTTTGTTTTGTATTGGAAGTCTTCCGATTTTTTTAACGATGACTATTAGTTCGTTAGCTCCAAATATTCAAGCATTAGAAAAATTTCTTTAAAAAGCCATTTCTTTATCATTTTTGTTGATTCGAATATTGAGATGATATCATGTAAGTATAAAAAAAGTTACATCCTTATTATTCCCTTGCACCTTTCTTCAAATATTTCTATTTGGTCTTATTTAAAAGACAGGGACGTAATGATCTGCGGAAATAAACCTTATTCTAAATACTTATCTTAAATGTTATATCAAATATATTACCTAAATGTACCGGGGACCGTAAAAAAGTGTTTAGTTATTATTTTTATTATAAACTGAAAATTTTATATTAAGCTGATTGCTATAACCTTCGTAGACCAGAGTAAATTTGTTATATTGTGATCCTGATTGTTTTATATTTTGCGAGAAAGAGTGATAAGAGCGTTATTTTTGACGTTTAAAATCCAAAATCGCAGAAGGCAATCCCTAAAATGTATAAAATATAAGAAGGCCAAATCAAACTGACATCACAATTCCTGTTTGGGTTTCATTGATAATTGACTTGTGAAAATGGGTGCAGAGCAATCGGCCGTGTTGGCCTGCACTCAGACGGGGATACAGGAAGAACATCTGAAACTGGTTAACTCAGAGCTATTTTTCAGCTCGTACTTTGAAAAGATGCGGCAGCCTGTTACGGGTCCTGTAACAGAAGCGCTTTTACATTTGGTAGAACATTTGCAAAAGCCGAGAGCTGTAGTTAATGGTAAGATATCAGACAATTGCCTTAACATTCCTTAACAAATTGTTATTACCAAAGCTGAAGAAACTCAATCGGTCCAGGAGGACGGTAATAGCAGTGAATGTGGCTTCGATTCGGAGTACAGTGATGACACTGAAGCAACAATCTCTGATGTTGAGATATAGCATCTGCAGGTAGCCGAATTCGATTCCATATATGAATATAACATTCCTTATAAAGAATCTATCTAATCTTTTGCAGACCCCCTACTAATAATCAGTACTCACTAATAATTGAACATTAATTTAACATACGAATTTATGTACAGAACTAATTGCAATTTGTTTTACTTAAAATTAACCTTCTTCAGTCTCAGCGACTTGATGGGTCTGACAATGCTCCTTCGCTCCTCACGATGCTTTTTCAGCTCCGCCTCGCGTTTCTTGGCATGGAACTGTGATTTCTTCTGCTTGTTCACTTCGAATGTCATCTGCCGGTTGCCCAGGGAGCGGCCCACATTGGTCACTTGGCCCTCCAACTGGGACATGACCTGCACTCGATCTTGCAGGCTAGCCTTCTTGATGCGCTGCTGTATCAGACTACTGCCCTGATGCTGATCCAGCGCGGTCATGGTGAAGCGGTTGCCATTGGTAGTGGGTTTTTGGGTGTATCCATTCGTGTGGGGTGTTGTTTCGGAGTCGGCAGGTTTATCCTCAAGCTGCTCGTCGTTTTCTTCTTCCAATTCCTCGTCTTCCTCACGCTGTCGTTTCACCTGCTTGTACGCCTGTTTCATTTCCTTGACATACTCCCTTCGGTCATCATCGTCGGAAGATGCTTCGTCACCGCTGTCATCCTTTGTCTCGCCATCGCTCTTCTCGAAGCCAAACAGGTCCTCATCGTTGTCGCTTTCCTCACGTTGCTGAGCCTCTTCGGCATGGAGCTCGGCCACAGGAGCCACTTCCACACGCTTCTTAAGTTCCTTGGCCTTGGATTTGTCCAGACGATTGAGAACAGGAGCCAGCAGACGATATTCCTCGGCAGACTTGTTAACAGCAAAGTCAGCGTTCTCGAACATGGCCTTGAAACGCGAGTCCTCCAGCAGATTCGGCACATTTCGCTGCTTGGAACTGTTTGAGGGATTAGCCTGTTCGTCCATAATCTTGAGGGCCAACTCTTTGTTGACCTTGGGCAGCTTGGATTCGATTTGTAGGCGTGACTTGCGCTCGCTCTCAATTTCTTGTCGGATCTTGTCCTTACGGAAGCGGTCAAAGGCGAAGGGCTCCACCACAGCCTTGGCTTTGTTGTACAATCTAGCGTCCATAAAGTATCTAGGGGATTTTAAGGAATTAGGAAATACTGTAATCCACTGGTATGCTTTTTAGACTTACCCATGCATATAACCCTTAAGCAGATTGCTGCCAACGAGATGTTCCATGCCCAGTTCGGCCAGCTCCTTGGCCGTGACGAACTGATAGTCATCGTATACATTCTCCACGACCTCCGATTCGATCTCCTCGGTGAGGTTGTCCAGGAAGGAGCACCAGCGGGGAGCTGGTCCCATGGCAGGCACATAGTAGGTCATCATCTTCACATCTTCCTGAGCCACGAAGAACATCCCCGTATCGGGAATGGTGCAGAAATCGTTGAATGACGTGGTTGACTCGACATATGCGATCTGCTTGCCCGTCTGCTCGTCCCACAGCTTCAACGTGGCCTCGTCCAAGCTGTAGACGGCATTCTGGGCAGGATTGAAGGCCAGGCGTTTGATGGGCAATCTATTTAGATGGTTCTTCACCAGCAGCGGTTGCTTGGCACGGATGTCGTAGATGAGGACATGACCCGAAGCAGTGCCCACACCCATGTGCAAGCCATTTCGGAACTTAAGGGCCGTGACCGAGGGAAACTCCTTGACGCCCGGCAGCTTCATGGCCACATCCAGGGTGGCGCAGCGCTGCTTCGTCCTCGGGTCCCAGGCCTCCACGGTGCCCTCTTTCGTGCCCGCGAGCAGGAGATGGTGCTCGGGATTCACTTCGCAGGCGTTCAGGCAGCTGCCATCCGTTTCAAAGGGTTGAAGGAACTGGCCACGCTCCAAGTTAAGCCGGTAAATATCCTTGCCCACGCCCACAATGAACATGTCGCAACTGGGCTTGTGGTACTTCATGTCCCGCCCGAATCGCGGAATCCTCAGCCTGTAGTGCCGCCCGTGGGCCGCATGGATCTCCACGTATCGGTCGCACTGCAGGAACACCATCTTGCTGTAGTCCTCGCTGATCACTTCAAAGGTGGTCACCTCGGAGTCGAAGCAGCGCTCGAATTTGATGGACAGGTTGGACACCTCGAAGCACTTGACGCGGGGCTTGTAGGTGCCGGTGGCCAGGATGTACTGCTGGTCGGGGCTCATCCGGATGCTGGTGCACACGCCGGGCATTTCAAAGTCCTGGATGAGCTCGATCTGGCGCCGGGAGTCCACCTTCTTCTTCAGCTGCGACCGCTTGCGGCGATCCGTGAGCCACTGTAAGGGGGATATTCTTGGATTATCTGCTTTGGAAGGGGGTTTATCGTGCTACTCACATCCGGCACCGACTTGCCGGCGCTCAGGTTGTAGATCTTCACATCGTTGACTTCGTTTACGAACATTTTGGCCGTAATTTGGGAAGATCCTACGACATAAACAAACCAAACCCGCAACACGTGCGCCCTACAGTAGTCTCTCAGAAATATTAAAAATACCGAAGAAATAATACAAACGGTCACGCTAAAAATAACCGATTTGAGCAATGATACTATCGATAGTTTTTTGTTCAAGCCCTTGCTTACTATTAAAACTGTCATACAAAAATGCCTTATTAAAAAAAGCGAAAATAAATACTTTTATTAATTTAACCAAGCCTGCGAAAGTTGGCGGAACATGCCAATTTATACCATTAAACTATAAATAGTATTTATGCTTAATTTTAAAAAATAGTATAACAGATGAAGGAAAATTAAAAATATCACAAAAATCTATCGATAGGTATGTGTACGCACTATAGCCCAAACGGTCTCACTAGCCTAGCGGTGTCACCCACCTAGAATTTTAGAAAGACCGTATATTTTGTTTGGTATATTTGCAAAAGTAAAACTGGTATATTCCACCGCTGCTCAGTGTGACCCCTCAGTCCAAAGCAAAACAAAGAGAGTGTACTGATTTGCATGTAAATCGAGCTGCAAATTCAAAATAATTGCAATAATAGCTCTTTTCGCACGAAGCCAGTGTGTGTAATTGCACGGGACTGAGCTGCATTTTGCATTGCCAAATTGGCAGAAAGTCGCTATCGAATTCCGCCCAAGAAAACAACAATACGCAGACACACACACACGCATCCAAAAGACCCCCCGCTCTTCGTAACCGCCCTACATTCCGCATTCCTTCCGCTCCCTAAGGTGAACTAAAGTGATCTAAAACGGTGAGTAATATTCGCCGTTTTCCTTAAGCCAATTACGATTGATTAAATTACGCGAAATGGAAATGGAAAACCATCCGCAAAAGGGTGACGCAGTGCAGCAGTGGGTGCTCCTACTGACAAACTTTCCCCCGTGCTCTCGCTCTCTCTTGTTTTCGTCGTTAGGAAGCCCCCGCCTTCCCTCCCCTACCTCCACTTCACATTGTTGTTTTTGTATACACCCCCTGAATGCTTTGATACCCTACCGTAAAGTACTTCGGTTTTTGTTACTGGTTTGTAACTCAGAAAAGTCCAGTTATCAAGGGATGGTTTTAGTTCTAATTGTGTGTTTTCTTAGAAAACCAGTCTTACATATTTAGGAAATATTGGCGAAGCCCCAAGCTTTTGCATCTATCAGACTTAGTTCTCCATAAACTTTCCATATTAAATGACAAATCTAACATCCCTGTAAAGAATCCACATTATACCTTATGTACAACCATTAGAAAACATAGTACACCTCAAAAGAACAGTTTATAATTTAAGATATATTGGTGCCTAACTTAAACTCTCTTAAAAACGAAACTGCCGACAATAAAGAGTACCATCAATGGAATGTTTCTATTTGATAAACGTGTTTCTTAGAATATATATAAAAAAATTTTATCGAAGCTCTTTTGCTTTGTTTTGCCTTATTGCTTTTAAATGGGGTTTTACACTTTATTATTTTGGTTTCTTTTAACAAGAATTTGTTTTTTTGCGAGTTTTTTAAAATCCAATTTTCACTAACATAAAGTTTTTATGGAAAAATCAATGAAAACTTAAAGGTTGTTATAGCATAGAAATGTATTTAAAAGGGTATAAAAACCACGGCTGTGTGAAGCTACATATGTTCCATTCCATTTTTTTCGCATTGTTATGGGAGCGCCTTTGAATTTCCTATACGAGGAGGGCCAGATGATCCACTTCCATGCAACGCAATTCACAAATGTGTATGTGCAAGCTCGAGGATTTCGCATTCATTGATTGCTCCACCGATGTGTGGCCTTTGGCGCTTGACTGATAAGACTCGAGACCGAGACCCACTGTTTAATCTTAATTGCCCGCCGGAGAGTCTATAAAACTGATACTTTCTGGGCTGTTTGACAAGTAATGAAACGTGATAAGAACTTAAAATAGCTGAAATTTGTTGCTTCCTTACGGAACTACTTTTTTGACATGATGGAAACATGATATGTAAGCCCTATCAAGGGTGTAGCTAGGTATGAGTCAGATGAGTCGGAACCTTATCAAGAAGAGTTAGCAAAAATGAAGTAAGTATTAGTTAAATATGTATTCATGTAAAATAAACATTTGTACCTTATACAAATATTGTTTAACCAATTCTATAACTTTCTCTCGAACTTTTTTGATATTTTGATATTTTGATATTTCAAGTGATTTCTATTGATATTCCTTAAACACCACGTAGAGCTGTACAAAGTAAAGATTGAAAAAATTAAAAGAAAACTATAATTCTCTCACCAGATTTCATTTATTTAGTACTTACAATTGTAGAATAATCAATTATGTATTCTCCAATGAGTGACTTTACTGCAATTGCTATCCGCTTATAGCACTGAAATTCCCACGACTACCAATCGACCTTGAGTCCAAACCCTTTCGACCTGACTGAAGGGTTTGCTTCATCAATTTCAAGCTCCGCTCGACTGCGGTTCAAATCAAAGGCTTTCGAGCGATACTGATACTCCAAAAACCCAAAGTCAAGTGGTATGGAGTGGTTTTACCCGCCACTCTTAAAACATCAGTTGGCTCTTTTACTTTATTGTGGGCTCCAGTTGGCAAATAAACAAACCCGGTCGGCTGTTCAAACACAAGCATGCCTTAAAAAAGAA